AATGAACGAAAGTGATGCGAATTCAACACTGAATTAGAAAGATGGCAGCCATACGATTGAAACGTACATGTGCCATTTTAGGTATCCAAAACAGCAATCAGCTGAATCAGTAGAACTGAACACTAAATTCGTAGAAACGTCTGCTATGAGTTTAAAACGACAACATGCCGTTTTGGGTCAAAAGGTCTCGACTTGTGGGGGCTGAATGAACGAAAGTGATGCGAATTGAACTCTAAACTTGAAAAATCACAGTCATACGATTAAAACGTTCATGCGCCATTTCAGGTATCCAAAACAGTAATCAGCTGAATTAGTAGAACAAAACACTAAATTCGTAGAAACGTCAGCTATGCATTTAAAACAACAACATGCCGTTTTGGGTCACAAGGTCTCGACTTGTGGGGGCTGAATGAACGAAAGTGATGCGAATTGAACACTGAATTAGAAAAATGGCAGTCATACGATTAAAACGTCCATGCGCCATTTTAGGTATCCAAAACAGCANGAATTAGTAGAACAAAACACTAAATTCGTAGAAACGTCAGCTATGCATTTAAAACGACAACATGCCGTTTTGGGTCACAAGGTCTCGACTTGTGGGGGCTGAATGAACGAAAGTGATGCGAATTGAACACTGAATTAGAAAAATGGCAGTCATACGTTTAAAACGTCCATGCGCCATTTTACGTATACAAAACAACAATCAACAGAATCAGTAGAACTGAACACTAAATTCGTAGAAACAACAGCTATGCGTTTAAAACGGCAATATGCCGTCTTGGGTCACAAGGTCTCGACTTATGGGGGCTGAATGAACAAAAGTGATGCGAATTGAAAACTGCATTACAAAAATAGCAGTCATACGATTAAAACGTCCATACGCCATTTCAGGTATCCAAAACAACAATCAGCCGAATCAGTAGAACAAAACAATAAATTCGTAGAAACATCAGCTGCGTTTAAAACTCCAACATGCCGTTTTGGGTCACAATGTCTCGACTTGTAGGGGCTGAACGAACGAAAATGATGCGAATAGAACAGTGAATTAGAAAAATGGCAGTCATACGATTAAAACGTTCATGCACCATTTTAGGTATCCAAAACAGCAATCAATGGAACTGAACACTAAATTTGTAGAAACGTCAGCTATGCGTTTAAAATGGTAACATGCTGTTTTGGGTCACAGGGTCTTAACTTGTGGGTGCTGAATGAACGAAAGTGATGCGAATTGAACACTGAATTAGAAAAATGGCTGTCATACGATAAAAATGTCCATGCGCCATTTTAGGTATCCAAAACAACAATCAACTGAATCAGTAGAACTGAACACTAAATTCGTAGAAACGTCAGCTACGCATTTAAAACGGCAACATGCCGTTTTGGGTCACAAGGTCTCGACTTGTGGGGGCTGAATGAACGAAAGTGATGCGAATTGAACACTGAATTAGAAAACTGGCAGTCATACGATTAAAACGTCCATGTGCCATTTTAAGAATCCAAAACAGCAATCAGCTGAATCAGTAGAACTAAACACTAAATTCGTAGAAACGTCAGCTATGCGTTTAAAATGACGACATACCGTTTTGAGTCACAAGGTCTCAACTTGTGGGGGCTGAATGAACGAAAGTGATGCGAATTGAACACTGAATTAGAAAAATGGCAATCATACGATTAAAACTTCCATGCGCCATTTTTGGTATCCAAAACAGTAATCAACTGAATCAGTAGAACTG